AGCGTCAGTCGATCTTCTTCATGTGTACACAAATTTTGCATATGGGTTTGTTCTTCTAAAAAGTTAATTTAAATTAATTCATTCTGGGGTGTGGGGCACAGCACAGAAAGCAGTGAAGAGTTCCCAAACACTTGATACATTTTATTAAGAATAGTAACTGTTATATTGTTTTCTTTTTAAACAAATAATTTTTTTTATTTGTAGGTTTTCACTGCTGCTTCTTAATTTGGAAGAATATTACTTTGAACAGCACACAGCTAATCATATTATAAATAAAGGTCGCAGAGATGAAAGGTACAAAACTCTTACATACATCTGTTTACTGGAGTTGTTCTAGTGTCATGTATGTCTAACACATACACAACTACTTTCTTCTTTATTGTTCCTTTTAGAAAATTCAGAGGCTCTCTAAAAATCTGTTCAAAGTCAATCATTTTTGAACCTGATGACAATATCCAACCCATTATCAAGGTAAGCAGTGCAAACTTACAATTTCTTGGTAACTTAAGATTCTCTTTAAAAAGCTTTTAAGAAGGAGTATGTATTTTTATAACTTGCTGCAGATACCACTGAGAGACTGCATTAGTATAAAAGCCCCAGAAGATAATGAAGCAAATAACCCTTTCACACGGTATGTGAATTAGAGTTACTGTGTATGTATTTAACTCCTTTTAAAGTTGAAATGCCCATCTCTTCAAATATCTTATTTACATTTTAGGGATACATCTGGAGGGATTTCTGTTGTATGTAACCAGGTAAGACCTGCATATAACAGATTCTTGATGTATAAATGAGTGAGGTTACGTTCTTTAATGGTGTGTCTTTCTCAAAGCCAGAGTCTTAGGGTGGGGGGTTAACTGGAAACAAAACTAATTAGTGTCAAAAACTTAGCATTAATGTGAAACTGTTGATGCTGGAAATTTCAAACTGCTAATGACTTCATTAAGTCATTAATTTGATAAAATGAACTTTTTGCGCTGTGCATTTTATAATGGAGCTTAGGGCAATTTTAGAATTGAATGAAAAAGGAGAATAGACTGAAATTAAATTGGTTATTAATCATCTTTGTTTTGGTCTTGCTGTATCGCTTTCTCCTACTTCCTGCAGCGTGTAGTGGTAATGGCAAAGCTATCTTGGTCCTTTCAGTTCAGCTTTGTGAAAACATTGGACTGTGCTGTATGTCCACCAAATAATTTTCAGGAGTAGTCCTGAAATACTGGGTTCAAGTTTCAATGATGAGTTGTGGTTAACTTGGATATGTTGCACTATGTGGCACTCTGGGACATGGTTTAGTGTAGTCTACCCTTGATTGGTTTAGTGTGGATTTGGTAGTGTAGGTTAATGGTTGGACTGGATGATCTTAAAGGTCTTTTCCAACCTAAACCATTCTATGATTCTATGTTCATACTTAATGTTAACCAAGGGAATATACTTCAAGCTTTGATAAATTGAAGCTAATTGGTGTTCCAAAGCTGTAAAAGTTTCCAAAAAATGTTCATGTTTTCATTTCAGGAAAGAACAGAGATGAGGTGGGAAATATCCTTTTAATCATTCTAGCATCTTTGTAAAATCTGTCTTTAGTAATACCTAAAATTGATATTCTTGCTCAGTTAAGTACTGCTGTAGTCAACAATGAACTCAAGCATTTAGTATTAGCTATGCTGGAGAGGTCTGTGGACTGTGTTAAAGTAATCAGTATATTTAATTTCATTTTGAAACTGCTTCTGTGAAGAGTATTGTGTAGTCAAGGTCTTTTTTGTTGGCAGTTTTTTTGTGTATAGAGTGTTTTTAAAAATGGTATTTTTAATTGTTCCATGCAACTGTTCCACCATACATCATTAGTACATGTTCTGAAGAACAAATGATTATAAAAACATCTCATAGGAAAGCAGCATTAACTTTTAAAATGGCAGGTGTGGTTAGCACCCCCTACTCCCCGTCCCTCCCATGCATAGCTTGCCAGTCATCCTCCTGTCTCTGGGGAAACATTCTGAAATAGCTGGGTGGCATGATAAATACTGGTATTTTTGTATAAAAGGCATAGGGACTTTCAAGGGTGAAGCACTTGCTAATTGTACTTACGACAAATTGTGATCTAATGATAACTTTTTTCTAAGTAGAATTTCTGTCTTGTAGGAAACTCCACATAGCGAATAATTGGAACATCTTAAACATCTTAGCCTTTTCAGGCTCAAAAAAAATTGTTAATGCATAGCTGGCTAAGAAGCTTTGCTTTATGTAACAGGCAACTTAGAAACTAGTGGCTATAAAATCCAGTAAATGGAAATAATAATTGGAGATTATTTCAGTATTTTTTTCTCAAGCTAAATCTCGGGAAGAATCCTCCAAAATAGGAGATGAATACAGTATGCTAAAGTTTTTGCTCTGCTTACTTTTTTTTTTTTTTAAACTTGTATTGTCTACATTTTCATGTAATTTGGGTCTCTCAGTGTAGAAAAATGTTTAATTGTCCTGCAGAAGAGCAATCTAAGTGTAAAGTAGGTGTCTCTGATTCTTATTCTCTTATGGCCCGATTCAGGTCCATGCATGCTGATGTGACATGAAAGGCACTAATTGCCATTATTTTTTAATGTAGCACTTAGAGGCATGCTGAGCTTGTAGGCTTCTAAGCATACCACTCACTTTCTTCTGGCTGGACGATGCTGTGAGTGGTCATGTAGTGACGGTTGGCTCTGTTGTCAGCTGATGGGAAGTGGGAAGGCTGTACGTGCCAGCCAGAAGGCTTCTGGCTAGAGAATGGTACAGCATCAGTTCTTGCAAGTTTAATATTTGCTCTTGGTTTGAGGCTGCTGCCACAATGCCTTGGAGTGTAGAACCACAGGTGTGCTAGCTGTAGGAAGCAAACTGAGGCATGGAAAAGGCCCTTTGATTGGCCAAGTCTCTTGGGCCATGGAGTAGAAGACAGTTGGTAGTGAAGTCTAGTGTGTTTTGTGCAGTTCAGAACCAATCCCGAGTCTTGCACTCAGGCCTGAGATTTAGCAAGTTTGAGCCTTCCCTACAAACAGAGCAAAACCACGACTTATTTCTGGCTTGTCTTCTTTCAGACAGCAGATAGTAAGGTGATATCTAGAAACCAATGTGCTAGCAGTCAAGCGTTTCTGTAGGAGTTGTGAGAATGTTCTGAAGAAGGAGAGCAGTTTCATGGGGGTTTTTGGGAGGGAAGATCCTCTCAGATGTGAGAATAGCATCAGAGAAACAAAACTGTTCAAAAACATGCTGTTGGATGAGAAAGGAAATCTGGTCTTCATTGGCGGTTGGAACTGGAAGTGAAGTGTTTGGCAGTGGAAGAAGGGGTTCATTTGAGAAGGTTTACACAGTAGTTTATGTTGTGAGTTGCCCCTGTGGGGTAGTTGCCATCAGGACAGAACCCTAAGGGCATGAGCCACCAGAAGAAAAGAGGGGGAGGATCCTTCCACTGAACGGGATTAGACAGATGGCTGTGTGTATTGGCTTTAATGTTGCAACTCATTGAAGGTCATATGATTAGAATAAAAACACATTAATAAATTACATAAGTAAGTAAGCCTCTGAACTAAATTGGACACTTGCCCCTCTTGCAGTTAGCTGCAAGTTAGGTCATTGTTTTTCTGCAGTTTATGTGGGGTAGCTAAAGCAGGATACTGCAACCCAGTGTTTTGCTTGCTTAAACAGCATTCTTAGCTTTGTCTTTATCAGTACTTCTGATTTATTTTATTATTTTTTAAGGACTGAAACTGTAACATCTCTTACTCTTTCAGGTTTTTCTCATTAAAGAAAGAAACATTATTGCACCCTATAAAACAGTAAGAGTAAGTATATATTTTTTTCGCTATTCTTAGCAAACTAACATTTTGCAAGGATTTATGTTCTCATTTCTGAAAGAGTAAGATAATTATAATTTAAGGAGTATGACAATAAAGCTGAAAAAAAAAAGTAATTGTACATATTGATGAAACAAGTGTCTGAAGTCTTCCATAATGGGTTTGTGATATTTCTTGGAGGACATACTGCAGACTTGACACTTGCTATTTACCTTGACGTGCAGCTCTGTGGACTCAACAGTCAGAGCTGTCAGCTGGCTGCTAGTATTCAGTGGATGCTGCATCCTGGCTAAATGGCTTCTCCTCAGCTCTGCTCACACCTGAGATGAGAGATTGCTAATTGATATTTCCCAGCTGAGTGCTTCACAGTTCAAAGAAATAGCAGAAATCAGAGCTTACTTCTGGTTGCTTTCTGCTGATGGGGTGGGTCTGCTCTGATTCTGAGCCTGGAGACTTCAAGGCATAGAAGTAAGGGTTTTTCACTTGGAATGCGAGATGGGTTGACACAAACACAAAATGAAAATGCAGTCACTAAACACCATATTTGCCCAATAATTGAAGTTGACACGATTATTTTTCTCAACATATTTGTTCAAGTAAGAAATTTTAAGAATGGAGGCCATAAATTTGTGCTACTGTAATGAACCGCAAAGAGGCAAGAGATTATCTCTGTTCTCTCAACAACTGTTTTGGGTTGGTTTTGTGATTAGATCTGTCTCTAAACTAGGATTTCTTTTTATCTTCTTTGCTTGCTTTATGCCATTAATTCTTCATGTGTTGAACCTGTTTTCTAGTCCTTCTATTTTCTGTTTTGCCTCCATGTGCAAGATTTATTAAGTATCATACAAATATCACATTGCCAACACAGTGAAAAAGAAAAGAATCAAAAGGGCTGTTTGGAAGGCTTCTCACTTTATTTTCTCCTAAGTCAAGATTCATTCGTACCTAAAACATTCCTGACAGTTAACCGTTACAATTTACTTCACAAAAGTGCAGCTATGTTTCTGCATATTGAAGCAAGAAATCTAGTTCTCCTTCAATCATTTCAGATTTTTTTCTGTTGCTGCTAAATATCTTCTACTTGAATCATTGCCAGTTCCAGATGCACCACTGAGTGCTGGAATTTGGTAGTACATTTTATCTTCATGTCTTGCATTGATTGTTTCACTTCAATTACAAAACACTGAGCTGTTGTCTTTGCATATGGCTGGAAAACTACAGAGAAAACTGCTCACAAAAGCTTTTACATTGTTGGCTGTAAGCAATCCTTGTAGACCATCCACTAGGATTTGAGAGCTGTGCTTTCTTTCCCTGTTGAAGGAAAATGGTGCTCTGGGTGAAATGTTACAAGGCTTTTATCTAAATTGCTGCTGAATTTCTTGTCTCCTTTTACTCCAGCTCTGTTTGCTTCCTGAAGCATGCTTTCCTCTTGGATTGCTGTCAGTTCAGCTCAGATCACATACATTACACTGAAGATCGTCTAGATTTCCATGTCTTCTTTCTTTCAGTTTTAAATTAATCCAGTTGTATCCACTGATCAATGTCTTGATATTGTCTTATTAATCACTGATCAATGTCTTGATGTTGTCTTATTAATCACTTTTTTTTTTTAAAGTCTAGCCTGAGAAATTACAAAACCCTACAGAAATGTGTTGATACAGTTTTATACTACATTCAGGGGTCATCAAGGGATCCCACCACCTTTCCTAAATATGAGTTATGTGTAAGAGTTAGTATCAGTTGATCCATGCACATACTTGTAATATATTTTAGTCAAAACTAGAAATATATGCATGAAATGACACTTAAGAAAGCTGGGAAAACTTTGTAGAGGAAAAAATGTGTATGCCATGTATGCTGGGTGATGTGTAGTGAGGTTTTTATAAATGACTAGTCAAAACAGGTTTGTAGTTGGGTTTGGGATCTTTTCAGCTCAAAACTATTTATGTAGAGGAGAATGATAACTTTTATAGCCTAGTCTTTAAAGATTTGATGGCCTGGTATCTTTTGTCTAAAAGATATACAGTAACTGTTTAAATGTAACATGTAATTTACTAGTTCTATATTTACATGTCTTTACCTGATATTAAAATAGAGCTGTACTAGTTCTACATTTACTGAGGTTTACACGATATTAATTTGTTCACTTCAAAGCTATTATGTTGCATTGTATTAAATAACAGACTAAATACTGCACAAAGAGCTTACCACAGGGAAGATATATTTGTAAAGAAAAAAAAAAAATCAGGTTTAACATCTGCCTGTGGAATGTTTCTGGTATACTGCAACCTTTGATAGCATACTTTATCTAGGTATTAGAGTATTGATTTTAGTTTTAACTTTTTTTCACTGAGCTTTATTTTAGACTCATTTGCAGTAAATGTACTTTTGGGTTTAGGGTAGAACAGAACACTTATTCCAACTGGATGTTGCTGGGAAACTAGGAGATGTTGTGCAAACTCTACATCAGGTATGTGGTTATTTGATAGTACTACACACTTTATCACAGCATCTTTTTTTTTTTTGATACTTAATGGAGAGCTTGCTTTATTTATTCTCAAGGTGAAATTCTTGGAATATCTGTTTTTAAAATGTAGCAGTTGAACAGAGCATCTAGTTCTGACAGCTGTCGTAATCTACCCATATTAGCTCTTACTATGCAGGGTGGTAGTATATAGACAAAGTAATGACATGACAGTAGCAATGAACAAACATGTCCTACTTTAAAGAGAAATAATAACAGCTCTTTTAGTACTCTGTCATCAAGAATGCTAAAGTCACCCCAATTGCTGTTGAATTCTGAGCTGTGTGGGAGATTTGTGTGCTGTTTCACTTAAAGCTCATTGTTCTTTAGCTTTACAGGGCTTCTTGTCTAGATAAGATGGGAGATCAAGCTGCCATGGTAAGTATCTGATAATTTCTGATATCACTGTTTAATAATGAAATTCTGATATCACTGTTTAATAATAAAATTCTAATTGCATTTGAATCATAGACCATATTAACTTTTTTTTCCTTCCACATTAGATAACTGCTATATTGCAGTCACGCTTGGCTAGAACTTCATTTGATAAAAACAGGTATCTTTCTAATCACTTTCTACTGGGAAATGATTTTCAGCTTGTTGGTTGAATAGTCTACTGCATCGGTACTTAATAGGTGCTTGTTTGGGGCAGCATAAGTCCTCTACTTCAGAGGGTTACCTCTTTCTTTGTGTTCTGAACCATTGGGAAATTCTGTGTTGTGAAGATGAAAGCGTTTCTTTTTTTATCTCTCCAAACTGTTCGGTTTTTCTGTGAATTTGTTGCAAATTGTGCATCAGTATATGCCAAATAAAGTTCTGTATAGAAAAGTCAACTGTCTTACTGCTCTGAGACTGGTGCAGAATGTAGCAACTTTCCTTTCTGGAGTGCCTGTTAAAGTAGAGGTCTCAAGAAGGAACTTTCTTCATGTCTAAAATAGGCTTAGTGAAGTCCCCATTCTAAAACCTTTCTAAAGAATGTAAGGGTAGCTCTACCTAAGTAAGAACTGGAGGTAAACTTACTCCCTCTCTTCACTTGTAGATTTCAAAGCATTTCTGAAACGCTGCATATGGAATGTAAAGCAGAAATGGTGACACCACTGGTGACTAATCCAGGGCATGTGTGTGTTACTGATGCTAACTTGTACTTCCAGCCTCTTAATGGATATCCTGTAAGTGCCTCATAGACGGTCTTGCATATGATGTGAGCACGCTGCCCCTCTAGCGGACAGTTTTCATTTTCTGTATTATTCCTCTTAAATGCACATGAAGCACATCTCCAGGAAGACTGTATTTTCAGTTGTAATCAGAAGCTCCTTAGTTTTCCTTTGATCTGCACCTTTGATCTGCGCTGCCCTGTTGCATTCAGCGTATCTCTACTTCTGAGGCTTTACTGTGTGCTAACTTGCTTAAAGTTGACCTCCTACTGACAAAGCACAAAATTTCCTTTGCTCATTCTCTATTAATATTTAAAGATCACTTTTTGTAACATTTCATTTAAGATAAGTTTCTTAATCTTACTCTGTGATGCTGTTCTACCTAGTGAGAGCTTTATATACATTTAGTTTACATTGGAAGATCTTAGCTACGTTTTCTATTAAACTGATAATTTCTTTCTTTAGAGAAAAACTGAGTGCATGTCACAGACAGATTACTGCTTTGGAACTTTGTCACAGAAATAGCAGCAATAGTCTTAGCAGGCCACTAATATATTAAAAGTATGTCCAGACAAGGAAAATGTTTCACAGCTGAAGGTGACAAAATGCCATTCAATTTCTGTCCACCAGGTGCCACCATTGGCAAACAGTTTGCCCAGCAGCCCAATGGCTTCCTTATTTTTGACATAGTTTCTTATGTTCTGCTTCTCTTTTGCATGATTATTATATCTGGTGACAGACTCGTTGGATAATACACTATTCTTTATTTATTCTTAAACTGCTTTGCTACTCAGACAAGAACCAACGGCAAAGACAAGCTTCCTCTTTTTAACCTAACTGCTTAGCGCTGCTGTTCCACTGCTAAAATGACATGGATGGATATTGTTTTCATATTGCTAGTGTCTCTAGTTGAGAGAAACTTCAGATTGACTGGAGAGGTTAATGTAGAAGAACATATACCTTCTGGAATATCTCCATCTTTTCTTCCCCCTCCCTTGCCCCCCACAGAAACCAGTAGTACAAATAACACTGCAAAATGTGCGTCGCATCTATAAAAGAAGACATGGCCTAATGCCACTGGTAAGCTCAATTTTTTTTTTTTTTTAATGTCTAGCCGTATATATCGTTTCTTAAAATGACCAGCTGCAACTGTGTGCATCATTAGGTAAAAGCTACATGTTTTTAAAAACTCTGGATTAAGTGGTGAACAGCACTCAGAGATCCTTTCTGGTTTTTAAGTGTTTCAGTTCCCTGTGTTGTCAAAAAGATGAAAACAGGAAGAGTGAACTCTGTCAAGGATGAAAAATTTCTTTCATAAGCAGTCAGTGTAGGGGAAGGGAGAAGGGAGTACCTCCAGGGAACAATTAATTCCATTTATCTCTAACACCTATCTTGGGATAGAATGAATTGCTCTCTCATGGTGTATTTTCTCTCTGGATTGATTCAAGGAGGGAGCTTGATCACTGGTTCAGATTGAGACTAATGTGGAGTGATGAGTCCCGCTGTACATGACTGAGGGATGACAAGAGTGCTGCAGTGGAACCTCAGTTGCATGCTTTCAGTGTTTGCACTGACATTTCAGTCTTCAACAAAATTTTTGTCTCAAAACACATTTAAACTAAATAGACATGTAATTCTTTGCCTCACTCCCTTCACTTAGGATGAAAAAGTATATTACCTGTGCTTAATCAATCCAGACAGAGCCAATATATGGACAGCTATAAAGCTATTTGCTCAGTTGGGTGTAAACTGAATGCTTTTGTGAATGCTTTTGTGATTGGAAATAGGAAAGACCAAAATGTTAAACTTTGTGGGCAAAACTGCTATCCGGTTTAGAGTCTTAAGTTTTAGATATTAGTAACTGAAATTATTCTGTTAAAAACATGAATATTCCAGCTTGTCAGTAATTGCTGTCATTTACTTTTCTTCCCCCTTTAACTTCTAAGGGACTTGAAGTATTTTGCACAGAAAATGATCTATGTTCTGACATCTACTTGAAATTCTACAACTATCAAGATCGAGATGAGCTCTATTTCCTTATCGCAACATATATAGGTTTGCAGTATTTATTTATTAATGTAGTCCGTAGTACCTTGTGAGGAGAAATTTTTCTCTGTTTTGCTTTGTTGATGTGTGGGAAGAATGGGAACACACAGATGTATTAGCCCTAAAAATTTTTGATAGAAGTAAGCAAAGTTCAGAATGAATGTTGCGAAGTTGTATATATTCTGTTTGTGTTTGAAGAGCTAAGTATGAAAGCTGAGATAGTATTATTAAGGTGAAACTAATTGTTTTGATTCGCAATTTGATACGCACTGTTATTTAACACCCCCCCACAAAAAAAAAAAAAACCCAAAGCAAGCAAATGAAACAAACAACAACAAAACCCAAAATGCTTTGTCGTCAAAGCAAGGAGTAGATAAGATCCACTCAGCTAAATTGTGTTTTGCTGAAAGACAGACTGACTTGTGGGTGGATCCCTCTGGCCCCCAGTGAAGTCCAATTAAAAATGCTGTTGAGAAAGTTCCTGTAATGGATGGATTTCTAGTGCACACATAAATACCTGAACTTTCCTCAATCTTAGCAGTGGTTGATGAAAATTACCGTTCTGAAACAGTTAAATTTTCATTTCTATTAAATCTTGTATGCATTAATTCCTAGAAAGTGATACATATCTTTTGCAGATCATGAACAGAAACTTTCTAAAAGGCTACCATGTGTCCTGGAAAAACAAGGACAAAAACCTAATAGTTTTTCTGTAATGCTACTACAATGGAAATATTGAAACTCATGTTTACTGCCAATAGTGAAAGTGCTTATGTAAATTTTATACTATTTTGTTATTGTACCAGTGCTGTAGTTTTGTTTTAATGAATTGAATTTAATGATTTGAAATATCAGTTGACATTTTCCCCACTTCACAAAGCAAAGTGGAAAGGCCACAAAGGAACAATCACTTCCCCTGAGAATCATTTCAGTCTTTTAGATTTTTCCTTTTGAAAAGGAAATAGATTCTGACGTGATTTTCTCTGTTATTGAAATAACTGCATGCTGTTACCCTGCTTCAGGCTTTTTCTGGATAACTTCCAAAGATGAAATTTCAAAGTGTAGATGAAGATGATGATGATGTTGTTACTGGAGCTTAGAAATAGAAAAAGGGTGAGCCCTTTCTCTACAGGTGTTTGTAGCACCTCAGTAGCTGTCTCTGACAGCAGAAGATCCTCTCTTTGAAGGTGCTAACATTTTTTACTTGTAGTATTTAAGGTACTAAGGTGAAGGGAGGTTTGGAATATGTTTTTCCAGCCTATGCTGAGCTAAAATAGAGGACCGCCATATCCTAATCTGAATTCCTTTCCTTCTAGTTAATAATTGTAGTGATAGTATTTGAATAATTTAAAGTTCCATAGAAATCCTATTTAGCTTTGTGTTGTACCTTTCAGCAGCAAATGGTGGTAGAAGGTATTTGAAGACTTTTAAGTAGGAGGAAGAGCAGCCTGTAAAACAAGCATGCAGAAGCGTGCTGTATAATGCTTTGTATGGCAAGGATGTGGTTTCACTGTGATTACTTGATGATTGGACGATTTCTTGCCATCATGCCATGGTTGCAGTCCTTCAATTCTGCTATTTCAAGCACTTACCAAGGTGCTGTGAACTTGTGGTGGTTTGACCCTGGCTGGATGCCAAGTGCCCACCAAAGCTGCTCTATCACTCACCTCAACTGGACAGGGGAGAGAAAATATGACAAAAAAGCTTGTGGGTTGAGATAAGGACAGGGAGATCACTCAGCGATTACTGCACAGGCACAACAGACTCTAGTTGGGTAAAATCAGTTTAATTTATTGCCAGTCAAAACTGAGTAGGGTAATGAGAAATAAAACCAGATATTAAAACACGTTCCCCTCACCCCTCCCTTCTTCCTGGGCTCAACTTTACTCCTGATTTTTCTCTACCTCCTCGCCCTGAGCAGCGCAGGGGGAGAATGGAGGTTGTAGTCAGTTCATCACACACTGTCTCTGCTGCTCCTTCCTCCTCACACTCTTCCCCTGCTGCAGCGTGGGGTCCCTCCCACAGACTACAGTCCTCCACAAACTGCTCCACCGTGGGTCCCCTCCATGCAGCCCTTCAGGAGCAGACTGCTCCAGCATGGATCCCCCATGGGGTCACAAGCCCTGCCAGCAAACCTGCTCCAGCCTGGGCTCCTCTCTCCATGGGTCCACAGGTCCTGCCAGGAGCCTGCTCCAGCGTAGGCTTCCCACAGGGTCACAGCCTCCTTCGGGCACATCCACCTGCTCCGGGCGTGCGGGTGGATATCGTCTCCACCATGGCCCTCCGTGGGCTGCAGGGGCCGGGCTGCCTCACCATGGGCTGCACCAGGGGCTGCAGGGGAACCTTTGCGCTAGTGCCTGGAGCACCTGCTCCCCCTCCTTCTTTCCTGACCTTGGTGTCTGCAGGGTTGTTCCTCTCACATATTC